GGCACTGCTGTAATAATTTTAAAAGCAGATGACTAATCAGCTTCTGTTATATTATTGCATTGAATTTTTTGTGAAGAAAAACATTTTATTATTTTTTTAAAGTTATTGACAAATATTTCAAAAATAATAAAATTTTAAAAAATAACTAAAAATATTTTTTGAGACACTTAATTTAATACTTAATAAATTTTTTTAATTTTTATAAATATATCTAATACAGCGCTGTCCAACTTATCATAGCCCGCGGGCCATATTTTTTTCACCGAACATTTCGGGGGCCGAGAAGGTTTGTGATGGCTAATTGGTCGGCCGGGAATCACGTCACATCACATTTGCATAGTGCTACGGTTCAGTAAGCACTAATTGGTCATCGAGTCCGATGTTGACGCTATAAAAAGGCGACAGTTCGACACACCGGATATACGTCACTCTCGTCTAAGTTCGACTTGGGAANAGTATCAGATCAGCATAAGTCATTTGATAATACGAGAGAGGACATTTCTATAGTAAACCTTGAAGTGCATAGTAATAATGAAACTAATGAAAATACTCAAACTATAAAAACTGAAAAACGAGTACATGAAAAAACAGTTTTGTTTGCTAACTTTTTTTGTAAATTTATATTTAAAAGAAGTTATGTGGCAACTATAATTATTATGATGGTAAGTTAATTACTGTATTAAATATTTTAATCTAAGTAGAAGTAACATGTAATTAATAAGTTAGATTTAAATAAAAAATTTTAATATGTCAAATTAACACATTTAAATTGTTTTGGTAAATAGTGATGTGGGAATAATAAGAAAAAGAGAAACTTTTTATATTATTTTGAAATAGAAACTTGTCTGCAAGTTTATTAATAATTAATCAGAATATTGGGTTAAGAAAAAGATGTCTTAATGAAGTAGAGAGCATTTACTCTAATTTATAATACATTTTCTTGAATTTATATGTATTTTGTGTAAGTATGAAAATGGATTAAATATATTTTAAGAAAAAATCAAATGCAAGCACAAATTTGCATAAATTAAAATATCTTACTTGGAGCATAAAATAATAATATAAAAACAGCATCACTATTCTTCATTATCAACAGAACAACTCATATATCAAATTCTATACTCAAAACTGCTTTCTGGAGTTTACACCTTATTATCGTAGTGCATTTTGGGTTCTTAATGTTCCTGAAGATGGGGTTGTAGGAACCTGAAAGCATAGGATAAAGTTGTAAACTCCAAAATGCTGTTTTGGGAGAATAATATATTTAAAAAATTTATTTGAATGCTTTTTGGGTTGGCAATATTTCTCGAAGTTTAGCTGAAGAATGAAGAAATTAATAATTTAAAGTTAAATGAAAAAAATTCAGTATATTTTTATCAGTACAAATAAAAATACCATTAAACAAAATGGAGAAGCATCTCAATAGTCACTTTTCTTTACAATAAATATGGAAAAGTTGATATGTATTATATCTTTAGAAACATAAAACATACTAATTTTCTGAAGATTCACTCTTTTTCTTTCTTTTCAGAATACAGATTTAGTTTTAGTTTTCATATATATACAATACAATAGTTATATATATTCAANTATAAGTGAGGTAACATTAACTGAACTATCAGGCTATTTAGTTTGGTTAAAATTTATATGCAAATTACAATACAAGAGCACTTTTTAGTTCATGAAAAAATTTAAATAAAATAAATATGATTATTGTTTAGGGCAATTATCTCTATAAAGATAGTATGCAAGTTTTATTTGATTCTAAATAAAATATAGTTTAAATCTCTATAATGAATTTCTCTCAGACTTTAACAATTTCTTCCTTTCTCTCTCTTTAATTGTAGGATGCTGCTCCAAATTACACTTCTTTCTGTTATAGAGACTTTACATTATTTGATGCACAGTAATTTAAGACTAAAGTCTTAAATTTAAGTAAAGTACAGTAATTTAAACTAAAGTCTTAAATTACTGTACTTTTGAAAATACATTTCTCTCTTTCTAAAATTTAATTTCTAATGATCTAGTCTGTAAACTTTATCTGTTTCTGAAAAAGTTTTTTTATTTTATCTCCACTCCTGCTAGATTGTTTTTGATTTCAGCTGATAAATATTAAAATAAAATTTATTGTTATAAAAATAAATATCACAAAAGTTTTTTTTATAATTTTATTAATTAAGAACAAATATCTTTACTGACTAAACTTTAGAAGCAAACATCTTTTGACATTTTAAAATTTTACCAAAATACATTGTCAACTGATAGAACTATTTAAATCAGTTATTAATACATAATAAGAATGCTTTAAAAAATTTTCATAAACATTAATTTCAGAATTACATGACAAACAGCTGTTAATAGTTTTGCTGCATGATTAAAAAATTTTTCATAAGATTATCTTTTAATAGTGTTTTGATTCTCTATACTCTTATATATTTATATTTACTTTGCTGTTTTCCTTAATGTGATTATATGGAAATGTTGCAGACGTTTATCTATTAGCTATAACTTTTGTGCTTCAGATATATACTGTATGTAATTCATGTTAGCATATTAACCATAGATTTTTGTATAGTCATTGGAACATTCTATTGCCTTTTGAATTTTTATTCTTTAACTCTCTAAACACGAAGTCAGCCTAAATCGGCCGACTTCATGTTCAAAGAGGAATTCATTAAAGTGTAATTCATTTTTTTGAGGAGTTTTCTTAACTCTTCAGAAAAATGAATTTGATGGTTAATATCAGTTTTTGATGATTTAAGCTTTTCAAAATAAATCTAACTGGTTTAGTTTGAAATAAAATTAATGCGTATAAGCTGCATTTTTTAATTGTATTTTGCTATTTATTATATTAATAAAAAGAAAAAAATGAAATGATTGATTTATAATCATAAATTTAATGAAGAATGAATATTTCCAATTTTTTTGCTGAATCAATTTTGGTAATAAAGATATTAGTATAAGATGTTGATAGCCAGATGGCTGAGATGATTAAGGTGTCAGCTTATTGCTCTGGGTCCCAGGATCAAATTTGGATAAGCAACTGCCCAGGAATTTTTTATGGACAGTCAGTCTTGGATATGTTGGGTTTCATATCTCATCACCTGTCTGTTCATATTGTTGTCCTGGCCAAACCCATGATGGATATGGAAAGAAAGGTCTTCTTAGTGCACAGGGCAGAAAGTGTTTAAAAAATGGGGAAAAAATGCTATATGATAAAGATACATAAAATAATACATATTAATTAATACCTTTTATATTAATATATTGAAATCACTCTTAATGATTCAGTATAGAATTGAAAATTTTTTGTCGTGAATCTTAAATAGGTTGTTTGAAAAGTCATTTATATTATAGAGCCAATGTTACATTGACTAAATAAAATTTTATTTTACTTATTAGTGATTATCTTGTTTTCATTACTATGCTTAAAGATGATTGAATTAATTTAAAATTAATATTTATTTTTAGATCTGGAGCATCACTTATCATAGTTGGCTCACTTTTATCCTTCTTATTTGGTCTTACATATTATGGCTAATGCCAAATACACGTCAAGCTTGTCTTTCTTCATCACCTGCTTTAATAATATATGCTACAATCTTGTTACTGATTCAATATATTTTTAGTCTTAATTTGAATGAAGATGAATTACCATCAAAACTGGAAGTTGTTAATCTTGCTCAAATTGGAATAATAAAATATTATGATATGTCTTATAAACCATTATTTGTTAAGGTAAGTAAAAATGATAATTATCAATAATTTATTAAAATAATCTAAATTTGAATAGAATTTTTGGTATATCGGTATCATAAAAATATAGATATAAAAAAGAATTTAGAATTTAGCAAGTCAAAATGATAAATTTTAAATTATTTGTAATAATTATTAATATAAATATATGTTGGATTCAGGTGTAAAAGACAGTAATACTCAATTCAAATTTTATTATAATGATGATTAAAATAAAATTTTACAAACATTAAATTATATAAAAGTAAATTTAATAAAAAAAAAATGATTGTTACTAGTTATTAACAAAGACAATTTGATCATGACAACTACAGTACAGTAATTTAAGACTTTAGTTTAAATTACTGTATTTTACTTAAATTTAAGACTTTAGTCTTAAATTACCATGCATCAAATAATGTAAAGTCTATAACAGAAAGAAGTGTAATTTGGAGCAGCATCCTACAATTAAAGAGAGAGAAAGGAAGAAATTGTTAAAGACAACTCCATATATGCAATTTTATTGATCCAGTCAGAACTGCTGAGTGAAAAGAAGGGGTAATTATAAAAAAAAATTAAATAGAGAATTGTAAAGAAAGTATTCAAATTTCATAACACCCTCTATTTACAATTTTTTAACACCAAACAAATGAATTAAACTAAATAAAAACAAACATGAAGTTTAACTCATTATATTAATACTAAAATGATAATTAATAGGCAGATAATTATTTATCACATGATCATTATGATGAATCACGTATGAATTTGCCTGTCCCAGCAGCATATATCATCATCTTCTATAATATAAAATTTAATTTATTTATCAAAATTATTAACTTTCTGATTAAAGATTGACTTCCATGCAGGGGAAAGAATCTATATCTTGAAGTTTATAGTGGCATTTTTTTCTAGCAGCTTTGTACTTTGTTATCCCTAACTGTTCTAAATATATAAGTTGTTCTTTGTGGAAGGTGTTATGTAGGAGGCATGCATAGTTGAAATGTACATCTATGTTGGGGTTGGCAACAAAGGTTGCTAATGTGGTGTTGGTCACCTCTTTCAAGATGGAAGTCCAATGTTCTTTGAGGCAGGTGNTATAGAATTGAAAATTTTTTGTCGTGAATCTTAAATAGGTTGTTTGAAAAGTCATTTATATTATAGAGCCAATGTTACATTGACTAAATAAAATTTTATTTTACTTATTAGTGATTATCTTGTTTTCATTACTATGCTTAAAGATGATTGAATTAATTTAAAATTAATATTTATTTTTAGATCTGGAGCATCACTTATCATAGTTGGCTCACTTTTATCCTTCTTATTTGGTCTTACATATTATGGCTAATGCCAAATACACGTCAAGCTTGTCTTTCTTCATCACCTGCTTTAATAATATATGCTACAATCTTGTTACTGATTCAATATATTTTTAGTCTTAATTTGAATGAAGATGAATTACCATCAAAACTGGAAGTTGTTAATCTTGCTCAAATTGGAATAATAAAATATTATGATATGTCTTATAAACCATTATTTGTTAAGGTAAGTAAAAATGATAATTATCAATAATTTATTAAAATAATCTAAATTTGAATAGAATTTTTGGTATATCGGTATCATAAAAATATAGATATAAAAAAGAATTTAGAATTTAGCAAGTCAAAATGATAAATTTTAAATTATTTGTAATAATTATTAATATAAATATATGTTGGATTCAGGTGTAAAAGACAGTAATACTCAATTCAAATTTTATTATAATGATGATTAAAATAAAATTTTACAAACATTAAATTATATAAAAGTAAATTTAATAAAAAAAAAATGATTGTTACTAGTTATTAACAAAGACAATTTGATCATGACAACTACAGTACAGTAATTTAAGACTTTAGTTTAAATTACTGTATTTTACTTAAATTTAAGACTTTAGTCTTAAATTACCATGCATCAAATAATGTAAAGTCTATAACAGAAAGAAGTGTAATTTGGAGCAGCATCCTACAATTAAAGAGAGAGAAAGGAAGAAATTGTTAAAGACAACTCCATATATGCAATTTTATTGATCCAGTCAGAACTGCTGAGTGTGAAAAGAAGGGGTAATTATAAAAAAAAATTAAATAGAGAATTGTAAAGAAAGTATTCAAATTTCATAACACCCTCTATTTACAATTTTTTAACACCAAACAAATGAATTAAACTAAATAAAAACAAACATGAAGTTTAACTCATTATATTAATACTAAAATGATAATTAATAGGCAGATAATTATTTATCACATGATCATTATGATGAATCACGTATGAATTTGCCTGTCCCAACAGCATATATCATCATCTTCTATAATATAAAATTTAATTTATTTATCAAAATTATTAACTTTCTGATTAAAGATTGACTTCCATGCAGGGGAAAGAATCTATATCTTGAAGTTTATAGTGGCATTTTTTTCTAGCAGCTTTGTACTTTGTTATCCCTAACTGTTCTAAATATATAAGTTGTTCTTTGTGGAAGGTGTTATGTAGGAGGCATGCATAGTTGAAATGTACATCTATGTTGGGGTTGGCAACAAAGGTTGCTAATGTGGTGTTGGTCACCTCTTTCAAGATGGAAGTCCAATGTTCTTTGAGGCAGGTGTTTAAGGGTCACCTTGTAGCATCCATGTATTCTAAGTTGCAGTTGGGTCTATGATTTGAAACTGGGATAGAATATATACCAGGTTGGAGGTGCATGTCTGAATGGTCTTTAACTTTTCAGAGGAGGATGCCAAAGGATTTCTGAAAGCTAGTCAAAAATTATTCTGACAATTTCCTTGTACAGGATGTTAAATATTGTACGACTTCAGCCACCAGAGGGCGCACAAGCACTATATATATATGATTGGCGGGCTTTCCAAAGCTCTCTTTCTTCTTTCTTTTGCTTTGTATGTGAGTGTTACCAATAAAGTAAGTTGTTAATATTACCAAAAGAGTCGTCTCCTCGTATTGGATTCTAACACAGGATGGCTAGTCTTCTGTTGTACAGTACATGACAGCCTTGTATATGGTGTTCTGGGGTAGTTGTTAGGCATGGCAGAAGTGTTACAGAAAAGATGACGATTTAGACCTTTGATGATGTTTGGAGAATAGCCATGTAGCCTGGCATATCAAGCAATAGTTTGGAGTTCCTTGTTGCTGTGTTGAATGTCAGACAAATGGTAAAGGTTTGACAAATTATACCACTGAAGTTGGCCATTGGATTGTGTGTAGGCAGGAAGCCTATACACCATCCAATCAGATTGTCATCCCTGCTCCTTTTCACATTTCTTTTTTTCTTTAAGATGGCTGACTTTAGTTAGTTGAGATGTGTCTATTGGATAAAGTAAGTTACAGATTAAGAAAGTGAACTTCTTGCTTGTTATCCTATTCCTGGGGGAGACAAAGGCCGTAGGGATTGGTGTTAATTATATGCAAGAAATCTTGAATACAGGATTTTTGTTGCCACAAGATAAGAATATTGTTGACATAATGTGCACATAAGAGAATGTAGTGGTTGAAGGCAGGCAGAATGGCAATCTTGAGTTGCCAAATGACTATTTTTCAAAGGGTGCCTGAGAGGGAGCTGCCATAGGTACACTCCTACCTTACAGAAAAGTCATGCTCTTGAAAGCAAAATAGAAGTGTGGCATAAGAGATCAGCAAGATCTAGGATGTTACGGTGATGCTTAGGTGAGTCCTGAATGCTACTAAGAAGGAAGTTATGCAGAGAACAAAAGCAAGATTCAATGTGGATGGAAGGATAAAGAGACTGGAAGTCACAAACTGTAAAGTATACTGGGTGTGGAATGTGTAGATAAAAATGTAGTCATAATATAGCCCAATACAATCCAAGAGATTGTTTACTTTTAATCAGGAATTGGGTTATTTCATGTATATATCTGATTTCTATTTATTATAAATAGATGTATTGTTTCTCATAATATTCATAGAATGTACTTTTTTCTACTATAATTGTACAACTTCAATTCTATGCTAATTGTACACTGTCAATATGAATTATTTAATTTTAACTTTATTTTATTTTAACAGAAAAATTATACAGTAGGATTACGATTTATTTATCCTGTGGTTTCTTATATCATTTGTGAAAATTTTTTTCTGTAAATAAGTATCTTATTAGCCTATTTTATAAGTGTATTTGAATGCTTTATAACAAAGATTTAGATTTAGCTGGGAGGTAATCTATAGAATGAGTTTTTTAAACTCAACTATGGAAGAAAGGGTTGCAAGCAAAATTTCCTCTCCAAGTGCAAATTATTGAAGGTACACTACTTTGCTAGAATATAGGTCCTCTTATTCAGAATTTCAATGTACATTCATACATAAACTTAGAGATAATTAAAATATTAGAGTAAGTTTAAAAAAAGTATATAAATATATTTATATTTTTTCTTAAACTTACTGGATATTATCAGTTATAATAATGATAATATCGAAGATAATTTATAATATATATTATATTATTTGTATTAAGTTGTTATAAAAGATTGCACTTACTTTTGGGACATGTATGATAATTGAAAAAATGTGAATGTTAAAGTAATGAATGAAAGTTATATTGTAAGTTTTTATTTTCTCAACTCAAAATTGAGTAAACATCAAATTTAGTATACTCAATAATCGAAGCATATTCAAATATTACAATGTTTTAGGTTTCCATTACAATCAGTCATTTCATCTTTTTTGTGACAATTAAGTATTAGTCTAATTTGCAAATTTTCGTATAAGATAATCCTATTGTCAGTAGACAATTGAAAAATACAGAAGAGAGGAGACACTATGATGGGAGGGATTCCTCAAATTTTTATGTCTCATAATCACTGCCTTCTGGTTGTCTTATCAATTGAAGCAGAGTCCGTTGGCTTTTGTAACTCTTCCTTTGCACAGTCCCATTGTCACAGTTGTTTTCGTGTTCTTCCTGTAATGACACCAAAAAAAAATAAGCATCGTTCTCCTAATCATTAGTCAATATATACCCTTTCCTGCTCCCCTGCTGGGTTTAATGCTCCTCCAGGCAATGACGGGTAACAGACGATGAAATATTCTAGAAGCTTATAAACAAAGACTTCATAACTAATAATTTTAAATTTTATATACAGAAATAATGAGTGATTGTCACAATATGTAGAGTAGTTAAAGATTCTTCAATTTAAAATTCAATTATAATTGCATTTTCTGGAATAAAAAGAATTCAATAACTCAAATTCTTTCAGATTATCATGGTTATCCATTCTCAGAAATGAACTAATACTTTATTTAAAATATGGCATTTATAATAAAATAAGTTAAAAGTAGTACATTATAAATTTCTAAATAATTATATTATTGTATTATAGATTTAATTTTTCTGCATATTCATTTCTTTATTCAATTAATCATTTCTGTTGAAATATTTAATTTATATAATTTACATAATTAGTAATTTTAGAATTTACTAAATAGATTTTTAATATTATTTTCTTGTTCATGAAGAGAAACTGTTATAATCTTGACAATATTTTTGCAAGTGTTCCTGGATATTGTAAATGTATAAATTAAAATATATTATTATTGACTATGAGAAATTGATGAAATTTATATAAATTTAAACAAATAATTACTTTGCTTAAAATTATTTGTAAAATATTAATTGCAAATATTCTCTTTTCAGACTTTATATACTATGATGTTTTGGATAACTCTTCATCAATATGTTAGAAAAAAGCATAGAACATCTCAAAATCAATTATCTGAAGGTAAGTCATAGAATTTATTGTTTTTGTATGTGTGCGTGTGCACGTTTGTGTGTGTGTGTATTATATACATTATATGTTTTCAAATAGAATACGGGAAAATGAAATAGAAATTTCCTATTACTCAATGTAAAAAAAAAAACAAAAATTTTCTGACAATAATTTAAATATAAATCTTTTTTATATTTACAGATACACAAAAGCAGTTAAGTAAAATAATTTCTGCAGGAAAAATTCCATCACAATTTTTTTGTATGCAAATAATGAAACAGCTTATGATTAAATACTGGATTTGGGTTGTTTTATTCATGTTGATGTTTTTGTCTCTCAGCGGTTCTCGTGTTGTATTATATCGGATAATTTACATGGCACTGTTTCTGTTTTTCATATTAGTTTTTCAGGTATCTGTTTACTTTTTTCCTATAAAATTTGCTAATTTTAGTCAAAATTTACTTCAAATAGTTATTACTAAAAATATTTTTTATCTTTATATTATAATTAAACTATTTAAATAAATAATTATATTATTATGATTTAGTCTTCAATTTTAATGGCAATGTAGTTTTCTATAATCATTCATACTCTTATATAAGAATATATTTTTTGACTTTATCAAATCTATTAATGTTAATATATTGTTATATTTTAAACAAATATAAAAGAAATATAGGTTAAAAAATATAAAAGAAATATAAGTACTACAATTTGGCAATAAATAAAATTTGATTCACTTGATTATACAATAGAATATGTGAAAATTTGCTACCTGTTCTTCTGTTTGTATAAAGATGAAGATTTCCTAACAGGAAAAATGTATGTTGTAAATTATAATGGAGACATACATTTTCTAAAACTGTTCTTATTTAGTAAAAATTTCTGTGTTTTTACTGCACTTTACTGTTTACTGTTCTGTTCTTAAGAAATTATATGCCAATAATCTTTAATCATTTGCATATAAAGCTGTTAAAGAATAAATAATTGAATCTTAAAAATTCATGATGATGATTATCATCATCAATTACTAATATATATTTTTACACTAAACCACAAAATCAAAGGAATGTGGTTTTTAACAAGCTTTGTATATTGAAGCAGAAGAGAGCCTCAAGTTAAAGATAAACTTTATTGTGTGAATTTGTGTTTCTGCAAAGTATAGATGATGATGAGATATGAAGACACTTTTATTTTATGTTTTGAGTGTTTCTTCCAAATTTATGAAATTTCAAATTATCCTAGATTTTTTATCAACTAAATCTTCATTTTGTTAGTTGTATAAACAAAAAGAATGTTAGGTTAATTTGATATGTAAATACACAATACCCTTTTTTTTAACTGATAACAGTTGCCGACAAACGGTCGAAAAGTGACCGTTGACTTTTTGAATGCGTGGCCATTTATTGGTCAGCAGATCATTATGCCACATGACACGATTTGCATAAGGATATGGCTCGGTAATAGCTGATTTGCATAGCGTTACAACTGGTAATCACTGAGTGGTCAGCTGAGAGTCACACCACACGTTATTTGCATAGTGCTACAGCCTAGTAAGACCAACCCACTTTCAACAGGTATAAAAGGATTGATGTCGAAGCGGGAGTTTTAAGTTTCCAGGAAGATCAGTTTTTAAGTGCAATTGGGGAGTACTACGTTCCAAGTGTTAACTTCGTAAGTTTGTAAGTTCACTTCACTTTGTGACTTCGGAAGTTAAGTTTGGCACAACAGGACATACATCAGTTTCATCTAAGTTCGGTTTGGGACGTGTGCATCAGAGCTTGAGGCAAGTCTGGATACGTCTCGCTGTTTGTTCTTCATCACCAGAAGGAGATCACTTCTAGCAACAACTTGTCAAAATGCTGCAAGGTGTCTTTCTCGATGGACCTGTTCAACATATTAGACTATTTGTACTTTATTTTATTTTGTGTAGTTGGCATACCGAGTTGGGCGCCAATAGTGTGTGAACAAAGAACATTGTAAATTTAACTGGCATTTGTAAACGTGACTTTTGTTTACTTAAGACAGATGCACATATGCAGTGTGTCAAGAAAAGTGCAAAGTTTGTGGCAACAATTATCATAGATTTGTAGCACTTGAAGCACTATATAATGTTAAAATGTCAGCAGTTGTATATAACATACACTGATTATGAATACAATTAATATAACAAGAGTCTTTTAACATTTTCAATATTAAAATAATAGCATAGTATTTAAGTTTTTGTTGAAAGTTTTTTGACTATGTACTGAAAGAGCTCATATCACCCTTTTTTATGTAGTAGAGTTTGCTTAACATATGCCTCTTCTTCACTATGACTCTTCATTCATGATGATTAAAATTTTTAATGTTAAGTTATTTTACTATTCTAATGAAGTGTCTTTATTTTTAGCTTTCATATCGTTTATGGAGATTTGTTATGTATGGATTTTGGCTTGTTGTAATTATTTATTCCATGTTAGTTTTGTTCTCAATTTATACCTATCAATTTCAAAATTTCCAGTATTATTGGAGAGACTATTTAAATATTTCATTGGAATTGTAAGCTATATTATTTTATGAAAATTTAAAAATTAACTTGATTTTATTAATAAAAATACTTTAATGAATATTTAATTTCAGACAAAATGATATTGGATTAGAAAAATATGAAGAAGATCCTTGGTCCTTATTTCTTAAATTACTCCCATCAACTTTGTTCTTAATTATTACAATTATACAACTACACCACTTTCATAAAGAGTTTTTATTAATGAGCAGCTTGAATAATAGGTAAATTTTATTAAATTTAATGAAGACGAAATACAAATAATAGTATTCCAAAATTTAAACTAAAAAAATTTAGTAATTAATAGTTGCAGTTTTAAAAAATTGATAACTTCTTAACTTCTTAAATAGATTTTATTGAAAAATTTTAAAGATTATATGCTTATGCCAACACATTAATTAAATTAATCCAAAAAGTAAGCTCACTATTAAATTAAACCATTAAAGAATTTTTAAAGATTTTAAGTACATACAGATTTTTTATTTGTAAAAGCTATGTTTTCCATGAAATTCTTCTTAAAATGTAATTACATGTATTTATCTTAATTATATTACAACAATCAAAAAGTGACGAATTATTATTATACTCAGCAAATTTATTCAATTCTTTATTTGTCCAATATTCATTTCAGCCTGTCTGATCGTTTTCAATTGGATTTTATAAACAATAATAGTGATCCCAAAAGTAGAGCCTCTGATAATATAGTTAAATCTTAGATGTACAACTTAGTTTAAATTACAAAATATAATATACTATCAGACCCCGCCACGTGTTGTTGTGGCTCAAAATGTATCTATTATAAATGTATAACACTTCCCCTGTGGGGGAGGAATTTTACGAAAAATTTCTTCTTAGTGTACATTCTCTTGATGTACCCTATTAAAACGCAATCAAAAATGCAAAAACCGGCATCTAAAATAATATAATAAAAGTCAAGTTCTTCACGGTAAGCCTTAATTCTGTCCCTCTCCCCATGGGGGAATATCAAAAAATTCCTTCTTATTGTACATTCTGTTGACGTACCCTATTAAAATGCAATCAAAAACGCAAAAAAACGCATCTTAAATAGTATAAACAGAAGCAGAGTTCTTTACTGTAAGCCTTAATCCTGTCCATCTCCCCCCAGTGCGGGAAATTTCGACATGTATATGATATAAAAACACGTGGCATTCGAATGCAGCGTTGTGTCAAAATTTCAAAGGAATCGGTAGGAACAAACGAACATTACATTTTTATTTATATAGATAGATAGAAGATGATCTGCTTTAGTTCATTTTCACAGAAAAGCATAATGCCTCACAGAAAAGCAAACTTAGGGCGTCGTACTCGTAGCGCCATCTGTTGGACATAAAAGCCTTAACCTAGATTATATATTTTAATTTATATGAATGTTTAACGGAATAATATACAGCCTATGTCCATCCTGAGGTTCCATTTTAAATATTGGTGAAAGAATTTTTGAAATCGGATGAGTAGTTTCGGAGATTACCTGCTGCAACGAAACTTACATACAAACATTACCTCTTTATATATTAGTATAGATAGATAAGTTACTTAAATTACTTTGTTATAATATGAAGAAAGTTTAAAGAACAATTGTACCATATGGACAACTGCTCACAAACCATATAGATAGAACTGCTCACAAAATCAAATTATAATTCAAACAAGGGAACAAAAAAACTTGAAATATAGATTTAAAAGAAAACCAAAAATAGGAAATTTGAAGTGAACTGGCTTAGCACTAAAAAAAAAAGATGTGATGGTCAAGGTAGAAGAAAAGAGAACAACTTTACCCAAAAAGAACAGACAAGATCTATATTCCAAAGTTTTTGCTCTCTTGTTTTATTTGTAATTTGGTTATGTGAATGGTTTGTCTGTATGCTATAATTGTTTTTGTTGGAATAAATGATTGAAATTATTGTTAAATGCTATATGACATTGTTATGTACAACGCATTGTGTCATTGTAATGTTTTGTAAATATTTTTCTGTTACATAATAAAAGGTTGGTAGCACTGTTGACCCCTTGGGGAGCTGTTGGTGATGGTGACCTTGTTTCACTCTCCCTTTTCAGCACTGACCTTCCATAAGTCAAGACAGTGTAATTTTTGTGCATTCTTTGTTTCTTTGTTATATAAACAGTTATGCAAGTCTAAGCAGCTTTTACTAATCTCCGACAAGCAACATCAAGTCTAACAGTTTTTTATATGTTGTTAATTATAACAAGCTAATTTGAGTAACTTAATTTAAATTACAAAACAATATATAGGTTAGTTATTGTATACCTAAGGTTTAATTGTAGTGTTTATGATTGTTATTAGAGAGTGTATTTTTGGGATCACTTTTATTATTTATAAAATCCAATTGAAAAGAGCCAGACAGGCCAAAATGCATATGGGGCAAATAAAGAGTTAATTGAATTCACTGAGAGTAATAAGCCTGATTCATTGATTCTAGTTAATTATTATTTTATAAAAGTTTAGGATTATTGTTTATTTTTATTAAATAATTGTCATTGGAATAATTCTGCATTTATCTTATATAAAATAAATAAGCTATACAAATAAAATTGTAATGATTGATCTGTTTGGATGTTTGTTGCTGTATCAAGGGAAAAGAGACATATTTTAACCAAACTTTATATTTTGAATCTGTTGACTCAGGAGAAGGGTTTATAAATATATATGATCACAAAATCTACATTATGTGGATTAAATTGTAACGGATTTCTGTCTGTTTCTCTTCATATGCTATATGGCAGGGGTGGGCAAGCAAGAGTTCAGTGGGAGCCGAAATGTAGGTTTTGCAAAATGCATGGTAGCCACAGTTCTGTACTTTTTTATTCTGTACTGCAATTTTATTAAATAATATAAATATAATTTAAATAAATATTGAATTTTTTTAATAAACATATCTTCACAAAATTGTGGAAATAAAATTGTAAAAATAATAATAAAAAGCAGAAATTAACACTTTCAGCAAGAGCCGCATGTAACTCAAAAAGAGCCACATTTGCCCATGTCTGCTATATGGCAACATACATGAATCAGCAACTGCCTGTCACAATGGCAGCTGCTGATTCATATGCAAGTGATTATCTGTAAGAAAGCTTTAAAATTGAAGTTATAGTGTTATGTTTGGAGAACTAATATTAAGAAGTAATTAGAAATTAGCAAAACATACAAGAAGTTGAAAAAAGTGACATCACTGCTAGATAGCACTATATATATATATATATATGGCAAATTGATCATAAACACAACAAGAAATATTTCAAATTTCTTGTTGTGTTTATGATTATATTTAGCCATAACTATATTGGTGTAAGTTTTCTGTGGTGTTCTCCAACCTCAACCATTCCTAAAACCCACCTCCTCTTAACTTAAACACAAGCAATTTTTTGTGTTCTTCGGTTTCATTATTGTAAATACTCAGGTTAATAAATGTACATTTTAGTCACAGAACATTGTTTTTATTATCCTCTCCAAATCAATCTCACTAATCCCACATTCTCTCAAGAGCCTGAGCAATGCTGGGCACAAGCAGCTAGTTTATCTAATAATTATTGATGATATAATTTGATCTATTTCATATTTCAACTTATATTTTTTATGGAATTTTGTTTTATTTATTAAATTTATTTTAAATTTTGATATTATTGTTATAAATATTGATCAATTAAATAACTTTTTATTATAAAACTTTCTAGATCAGTCGAAACTAATGAAACTAATCAAAGCAGTTTAGCATTTAGAATTGATTCAAAACAAATACATTCTAACAATGGAGAATGTTCTCTGGCTGTAGAAAATTTGTTTCAGGAGGATGAAAATCCAAATACAAGAAAAAAAAAATTATTGGAAAATGTCAAAGAATCACAAAACAATGAAGAAATAAATATTGAAAAATCATTCTCTGAAATCTCACAACAACCACATTTTGTTCAAGAAGATACACAAACAAACAGATTTACTGGATTTACAAAGGAAAGTAAGATAGAGATTAATATGAAAAGTTTAATATATCAGTATATTTATCATTATTTTAATTTTTATGTTTACTTTAAAATTTATAACAGAAATTATAGATATATTTAAAAATATTTGTAATATGAAATTCATGTGTGATTTTTGGGAACTTCTATGGAGAATATTGGAGATTCATATAATTAAAATTGTTTTATTCTCTGTCATGTGTCTTGCAGTTTTTGAAGTAAGTAATATATACATGTATATTTCACATTTATGAATTTTAAAAATTGTTTAATTACTAACTTCTCATTATTTTATGTGTATATCAAACTTAAATATAATCTTGTAATATTATTATTATTATTTATTATTATTTTAATTTTGGTTCTATTCTTTGTGAAGTCTTACAATATGTTATATAGAAAATAAATTGATTAAGTTTATTATTAAAAAATAATAAAAATGATAGTTAATAGATAAATGAAAATAAAAATGAATCAATTCATATCTGCAAATTTTTTTTTATATTCTCAGTTACTTTTGTAAATACAGCAAAGCATCAAAAAACTGCCTTAATTTAGACCAGACCATCCACATGTTTCAATTTGACTAGATTTGTGTGTAAACTAGCAGATGACCCTGGCATTGCTTGGGCAAAATAGCAAAGATTAAGATTGTTAGATTATTTCATGCTTTTAACCCTTCTATTATATTATATTATAATAACTGAGTTATATTTACAAAGGCTATTTTACATGAGATTTAACATGCCTTGTGCTCAATCTAACACATTTTAAAAGTACTTTAAATTGGGTACATTAGAAGAATAAAGAATTTTTAAAATGTGTTAGATTGGTCACTTGGTGTGATAAGATAACTTTTGTAGTTATATAAATCAAATACTATAATATAACAAACAGTAAAACAAAAATCTTATAAAGAGTTTGGTTATTTCAGCCTACTATTGTCATATTTATTGCAATACTCAGATGGTACAAAATGGCACAATTTCATTAGTCAAGTGGACACCAATTGAAAATGTGATATCCTGATTTTTTTCTTATCATTATCTTAAGATATCTTAAAAAAATTTAAGATATCTTGATTTTTTCTTAATGTTTAACTATTAGAAACTACCATTCACAGCTGAATATCAAATAGTAATTTGCCAACAAATCAAATTTCGCAAAATAAAATGACCAAATATTTAAACTCAGCACCTTCGTAAACCACGTAAATCATATTTTGTGCTTGCCAATAACCTTGTATTATGTAATTTTCCTGTTTAAATACCATCATACTCCTGTCTGATAGGAAGAAGGGACTGTTGCAGAAGGCAGTCAAAGTAATTCAACCAAAAGTAGTCATTGATTTCCTCCTGGAAGAGAAGAAGGTCAAAGAGAGAGAGGACTACTAATTAATACTGGTCTACTATTAATATTTGAAAAGAAATTTGTGTTGGATAGGTTGTGATGGCCCTGCATATGATTGAAGTCATATGAAGTCTTTAATGTTCGAAAGACTTCGTATGACTTGTTTAAATAAAAAAGATTTGTAAAAATACGAGAATAATTGCTTTTATGTCATAATAGTGTTTAGATTTTGGCAATAGATTGTATAAACTACATGAGAAGTATGTTCTTGTAAATATTGCATTTATAGAAAATTATTGGGCTGCAATTTGAAAAAATCGTAGACCTATAAATTCAGACTGTCATCCGCATGTGTGTCTGTGTGTCCTTCCTTAATCTTGAGAAAGGATTTATATAGATGAAAGATGAGATCAGATGTGGAAAGCTTAGGGTCAGGAGACCCAGATTAACTATATACAAACCTTGATTTTAACTAGAAGTCATGTTACTTCAATTGAAAATTTTTCCCTGAACTGAGTTAGATAGATGACCAACATGACTATTGCTAACAGGAAAAGTATGTTGTACAGGAGCAAGACCACTACTAAAAGAATTGAGAACATTGTGACAAAAAGTTGCAGTTTAGCATTGTGATATGTCACAATAAATAATTGCTTATTAGAATTAGTTTGGTTTATTTTGCTATGGCAACACGACACATGAGCAATCAACCAAGGGGGACTTTTTCCAGGAAGACTTTTATGGGAAGCTGGACTCTATTCAGGTGTTACTAACATGAAGTAAACCTAGTAAACTCCACAACTAACTAATTACCATTGATTGGTGGTTTTATCCACTCAGCTACTGGAGGACACTTATTAGAATTAAGAAAGTCCACTCAGAAATGAAAAATCCCGAGTTGTTAGATGTGGAAAATTAAATACTTGTAGACTTTTCAGAGAGTAACACTTTTATTCCATAATTCCATATAGGCAAATGCTATATGCTACCTGTCACCATATACCATGTCTATATATATATAGACATGACAAAATAGACATGATCTATCATTACTGTGACAGGTAGCATATAGCATTTGCCTATATGGAATTATGGAATTAAAAGTGTTACTCTCTGAAAAGTCTACAAGTATTTAATTTTCCACATCTAACAACTCGGGATTTTTCATTTCTGAGTGGACTTTCTTAATTCTAATAAGTGTCCTCCAGTAGCTGAGTGGATAAAACCACCAATCACTGGTAATTAGTATATATATTTTAAAATTATATTCTTTTTTGTAAGAATTATATTTATTTTTAATAAAATTGTAGACAAAACTGTCCAAAAAGGATCACCATTTATTACTTTTTATGTTCCAAGACTAACACATTTTCGGCAACTGACCTTTCTTTTTAGGCTACTTGTCGCCAGAAAAATTACAAAAAGTCCTGTTAAAAAACACAAAACACTTCCAATTAAAATTTCTAAAAATTTCTGAAAAGGGAACTGGTGAGATACAGTTGTCTTGCTTACTTCCATCTATACCTTCTTTTGGGGTTTTTTCTGCTTTTTATCTACTAAAAATTGGTGCTGGAATATGTAGATTTTTAGAAAAGCTGCCCCCTGGTGACGATACATGTAGAAATTTCTTCTGTAAATTCATAAAAAGTAATAAATGGTGATCCTTTTTGGACAGTTTTGTCTACAATTTTATTAAAAATAATTCTCCACCGGACGAACTTTTACAGAAGAAATTATATTTATTTTGTTAAATTTTCTGCCAAGAAATGGTGCTACATGTAAATCAGCAAATCAAATTTACACAGAAATTAATTGATTAATAGAAATCCAATAGAAATTTTGGGGTGGGATATATGACATTATCTAAGTTAAAGTATGTGAATGTAACTGTTGAGTTTTGTAGCAATTGGTTAAATGGCTAGGAGTGTAGCAAACAAACATACACCTTCATTTATATGAGAGTGTGTGTGTGTGTGTGTGTGTATATATAGATTATCCAAATACACTGTAATTCAAGTTTAGGTTTTCTAAGTTCAAGCCAGTATTTCAGAAATAATATAGGAATAATTACAAAAATTCAAAATACAATTTACAGAATTACTACATTAAAAAAATACACTGAAATGTTTACTACGGTGTGCCTCTTTTCAAGATCAATCTAGTATACCAATCAATCCAATTGCATCTGCATGTTGTGTTGTCATCGTGCTGGGTAAACAATTCAGACAGAACAATATGTTTTCCAGTCAGTTGTCCATGTCTATGTACAAAATTTACAACTAAGGTTGACCTTGAGACAGTATTTGAGGCGCAAGGTGAAAACAACCAAGCAAAAGCATGTCAACCAGAAGAGTGAGGATCGCCTCTGTCTTACGTCACATAGGTTGGGAAACAGTAGTCAAGCACTGTATTGTCAACTGCTGCAACACTAATCATGATTTCTGAATGAATGTTAGAACATAAACAATGAAATTACTATTGAAAGAATTAATATCCAGTTTTTGACAGCCAAATCCAATTTTTTTATGAATTACAGTCGACCCCCCTATAACACGGTAGATACGTTCTGGTTTTTATGAATCCATTTTCTACAAGTCCAGCCAATCACAGCCCGGCACATATGCAGTTTACAGACTATGGCTGTTTGAAAGGTTTCTTCCATAAAATTAATCGATTCCTAGACTAATTCGACTCAACATTTCCAAAACACGTATAATTTTTTGGGAATAATCCATATAAACTATGCTATAAACAAAAAATTGTAGGATTACTTACCAAGTGTGCACCGTTCGACTACACCGTTGCTTAAGCTTGTTTTCATCGTGGAGATTGTCATCGAATGGCGCTCGCATACTTCCTGATAAATTATTTTTTTGCGAAAAATTTGCTGAACTTTGGAGACATCATTAATATAAATATAATTTTTATGGACGTTAAATAATAAATGGTTTTTAGTAGGTCCGCTGCTTGTTTAAATTCAACGGTTTGTACAATATCCGCTATTGGTCTAGATTCGACCAATCCTGTCACGACACGAGTCAGCGATGACGTTTTACCGAATTATACGAGTTTTTTTAGCATGTTTGTACGAATACTGTCGCAATTTTTTCACCGTGATATAGGAATCCGAACTATAGGAACCCATGTTATAGGTGGGTCGACTGTACTGTATTTTTATTGATACATACTGTTTTCATTTATTTTATTAAAAAATCTTATTTTTTATATAAAAATCTATTTATACAGAACAGATATGTTAATTTTCAAATTTAAATACAAAGTAATTTATAATAAGTTTTGTGAAAATTTCTGATATATAATTTTATAATTTGTTATTCTTTATGCCATGATGTAATTAGTTAAATTTAACAGTGAATTAAAAAGCTTAATACAGTAGAATTCCTCTAATCCATCACCTTTGGGACTGGGAGTATGGTCGGAACGCAAAAAAGGTCGGATTATCAGAAAAAAGTAAAATAAACAATCTTCCTTTTGTCCAGTCTTTGTAGCACTGCTAATTTTTCATTTAATGAAAGAGTAACATGTTTACGTTTCACTCCTGACATGTTGAAAACACACACAAAACTGTACACGTACACACAATGTAAAACATATATACTGTAACAAACACAGAAGAACGCCACGGACGGTGAGTCACTGACGAGTCGGGACAAGTTTCTCGACTCGACCACGGTCAGATTAACCGGAGTGACGGACTAGCCGAGGGCGGACTAGAGGGGTTCTACTGTAATTGAAAAAATAGTATACAAAATTCATACTCAATATATCAATAAAACAAAAATGAGCATATTATTATGTAAAGAATAAAAAATTATTTTGTTATATATATTTTTTTATTGGATAGAATACATTAAATAGATGCAATAAAACTAATTTTAATAATTTTAAACTTAAGTTGGTTCCAGCCTGTTCCAGCAAAAATTTTTAATTTTTCTAACATTTTCAGCTATCTAAGCAGCCATCATCAGGATCAAACATGCAATAGAATAGTTGTTTCTATTGCATGTTCAATCCTGACGATGGTTGTTAGATAGCTGAAAACGGTTAGAAAAATAAAAAGTTTTGCTGGAAGAGACTGGAACCCTCTTAAATTTACATTTATTTTAGATAAGAAGTTTATTATTAAATTTTAAACTGGTAATAAAATTAATTTTTATTTACAGATATGTGCTAGTCATTTTATCTTTGTAATTTTAGTTGTCATAGCTCTACCTATAAGACCTATTCAGTTACTTATTTCTCATTTTTGTGCAATTTGGACATCTATTTTATTACTTTCTAAAATGATTTACCAATTGAAATTTATAGATGAAGATGAAACAAATGTAAATTGTTCTGTAAGTATCTAATTTTTTGTTTTAAATATCTCTCTAAATAATAATTGTTTTTTGTATTATTGCAAACAAAATTATTTATTAAACCAGCTTATGTAATGCTTTTATTTTTATTTAAACCCTTAAATGTTATGATATTATCAAATTATTTTTCTGTATATTTTAAATTGTCTTGTCTTTAAAGTACTTTGATTTATTCATAAATATACAAATATTCTTTTAAGCTAAATATTTTTATTTTTTCATATACAGAATTATATTTTATTATTATCACTGTATTTTATGAATAATATAGAGAAAATAAAGATAGGTTGTTAATTATATTTAATAAAATATTTGTTTTTAGTTTTGTTTTTACTTTAAGAGAGATTTCTTATGTAACTATCTTTGAATTATCAATTTCCATAACATTATAATAATATCTGCAAATTAAAATATATTTTCTGATATAGTAGTAAACATTTTAAATTTATTGACATTTTTATTTACAATTTTAAAAAAATTTTGTTTATTTTTGTAAATAGAGAATTTTTGATATATTTTTGAGATTTCCTTACTGTTTTTTAATAGTTTTGATCTGCTACATATGTGACAGGATTAATATTGCCAAGGTTACAGTATTCTAAATATTGATATCCCAGTTTTATATTATTAGATTTGAATATTATATATGTACATGTGAATTTTTTAACATAAATGCTGTCATTATTTAGAAAAGTAATTATGTATCTAAATGTAAATAACCAGTGATGCACTTAGAATTTAATCTTTGGGGAGCTGAGCTGAGTAGATAAAAAAACCTTTTTAATGCAAATTCAATAAAATTTCCATATTTTATGATTACTAATTCATAAGTAGTATAGAAATAGAAGACACAACACAATACAAAAAAAATTAATTTTAATTAGGAAAAGATTTTTGGAAATTCTTAGTGTTTGTTTTCATTTTTCTTTGGAGGATACCAGACCTCTTGGCCCACTCTTGGTACACCATTCTAAATAATGAACCAGAAGAAACTAAATAGAATTATTTATATTAGAGAGAAAATGTTGCTAATTATGTACTTAATACTTCTCTGTAAAAACTAAATAAAATTTACAGCATTCATCATGTTTTTTCCTATAACATTTTGTAGCCTGTAATACAGAGAATGATTTTTTAAAATATGATTGAGTTTGATGATCTTATATTTCTAATTAAGAACTAAGATTATGTTAACAAGATATTCTTTAAAATAAATATCAAAACAATTGAATTTAATTCAGTGATGAGCAATCTTTTCTGGCTGCAGGCTGTAAATGAACTTAATGCAGGCTTTAGCCTGCTAAATACCAACATGCTCCTATACTACTATATTATTTTAGTACAGTTTGCTAATTACTAAAATGATATCTGCTAATGTTATGCAAACTAGTAATAAATAGTTCAATTTCATTTTTTCACTAGTCAAGTTTAGATTGAATTTTTTATCACAAATATCAGCTTAAATAGAGTTACATAAAGGCATAGGCAGAAAACAGGAAATAAATTTATATTGATAAAGTACTGGAGGGCTGCATATCAGGATCTCATTGGCCACAGATGAAGCCCATGAATGCTTAATAAATTAAAGATATAATAAACAATTTTGTATATTTCATCATTATTTGGTTCTTTTCTTAATCAATATTATTATTATTTTGATATTTTTCAGCAATGTAATTTTAGGATTTTTTTTTTTTATATACTGATGTTATTAATTATTTCCTTGTCATGTAGATTAAAAAATATTATTATTTTGTATATGCAATTATGAATATATATGCTTGTAGGTATGCAGAATTTACATGTAAAATGTAGGAAAATGAATGCAAATTTCATGATTACTTTTTTGCAAATTCCAAATCAATTTTTCTAATATATAATGAATAAACTTCAATTTCTTATAACTTAATTTAAGTATTATTAATTCTCAGGCACTTTTGGACAACTAAGCCCATTATTAAGAGAAAAATTTTTTAGTTTAGCATGAAAATGTAAATGAAGCTATGGATGCTTTGTAGAGATATTAGATTACAATTTTTTTCTTTATGTACTTTGAATATTGTTAAAAATAATATTTAAAGTAATTCTGATAAGACAAAATAGTTTAGAAAAGAATTATAAAAATAATTTGCTAGTAGAAAATTAATTGAAATTAAAAACTGGTCTGGAAGCTTTCTAAATACAGCAAAAGTAATAAAATTGCTTTTAATGGTTGAAGAATAATATTGATATAATATCTGCATAGATATAGGGACAATACATTTGGCTACATCAAATTTAGTCTTAGGTTTGATTAGTTTAATTAATTATTTTAATTACTGGCATCAAATTTAGTGTGAGAGCCCGGACTTGATGAAATTTTTGAGGAAAAAAATTTTCGTCTTTTCAAAGTTAAATTGGTTTAAATCCCAGTGAAAAAATTTTCAATTTAATTACAGGAGGATGATCACATCTTTCAACCTGGAGTCACTTCTTTTTCCAGATGACACATTGAATGTGTCACTTGGAACTAACTACAAATATTTACCATTGGTCGAAAATAGTAACATGGCTTAAAGAGGGCATTGAGATCAAGGGGAGGACCTTGAAATAAAAGGGGAGAATCGAGGACAAGAGTGTCGTCAGGGTCAGAGAGTTTGTTGACCCACCTCCTTTTCATTTGAGTGTAGTTTAATTGTGCTCCATTGCTGATCCCTTAGACTGCCTTTCTTGTCCATCACCGCTGTTCTCTGAACATTTGAACTTCTTGATTCAAGGTCCCTGATAAGCTGACACAACAAACTTGGATTTCTTCAACAATCTATGATCTCAACCCATTAATCAAGTTACCAAGGTATTTAGAGGTATTTAGCATTGCGCATAATAATGTAAGCTCTCTCTCTCTGCTAGGAACCTGTTACAATAGTACTTAATAGTATAAAGCTTAATCAATTATGTTACACTAGATCAGTCTTATCTGTTATATGATGCTATTGTAGTTCTTAAAAGGATCACCAAGGTGATCCAGAACTTGATGTGAGTAAGAAAGTGAGGACTTTACAACGAATTAGGATAAAAAAAAACTTTATATATAACTAATACCTTCTCGTGTAATGCAATACATACGATAGACATGAATTATTTTTTTTTAGCATCAGTCTCACGCAAACTCCGTTATTCCCGATATTACAATCTAATCCAATGTTCATGAGCCCCGTTATCAATCGCTCACGGTAATCTTACAGATGAATTACACTGCAGATCCGCACCACAATAATTCATATATCTAGTCGTCTCCCTTGTAAGTAGATGATGTTCGAATGGAGTTGCGACCACGTGGTAACTAAAAAAAAAAATCTCTCCTCGGATCGAAATAATGGGTTGTGAACAACAGGTTGAAGGTGTTCAATTATCTGACCAAATCAGACAATTCCCTAAAGGTCCGCCGAGTCCAATGTAAACCGATTGCTTCACTTACTATTCACTCCGTTCTAACTTACTGCTCCTCTGTCCTTCGCAGGTTCGGTTTTCGACTACCTTCATCCGTCTCCTTCCGCAGTCCATCCTTCACACAGGAACCAGCCAAAACCAAGCACCAACTCTCCTCTCTCGTCACTGGTCACCCTTTTTATCCTTTCCTACAAGCTCCTCCCTTCGCTTCCACGTGGTCACCAAGGGGCCAATCATGGCACTTACAAAATCCACCATAAGGTGGCGCGCAATACAAAATTTTTGAACCGAACAAACAAAGAACACGAGAACCCGAACAAAGGCGTGACAACACACACATATAAAAATATAAAAATAAAAAATATAAAACAATACAAGTGCCTAGCACTACACTATGTAAAAGCTATAACAGAACTCTGTTATTCTATGTATATGTGTAAATAATTTACAAAAATAAATGGGTATTACTTCTTTATAATTAAGTTGTGGTGTGCACTTTTTCCAGTTGTCTCTCAGGCCATCTCCATCCTGGGCCCATGCATCTACAAATGCAACCATTCATGCAAAAACGGAATTATTGGCCATCAAGGTTTCTGTGTCTACCCTAAAAGACACAGTGGTGTCAGTCCTGACATAGTGTGATGTTCGTGAGCGACATATGTATAGACTACTGAATAGACTAGCACAAAGAATACTTAGTGAAGTATTTTAATCACAAGTATTTTATTTTGCCACTCATGAACTAGGTTCTTATTGGATCCCACTCCAATGCACGTGTACATTTACATTAATCGGTTGTTTAGTACCACAAGTAAATTCGTGACAATAGTACACGTGCGGGAACTAAAATCTAACACTTACTCGCTAACTTATACCTAAAGGCATAGCAGATTCTATGAGACAGTAGACAGGAAAGAGAAAAGATCACAATACCCGGGGTTTTGGGATTATTTCATGGTCACTGGATGATCACCGATTTGGATTTCACAATTAAGGTAAACGCACCGGTAGTGGACACTGTGTTAGTAGTGGACACTTTGAACTTCAAATATGAGTAATAAGGTTGTTGATGGCTTCACTGTTCAAACATACAAATCATTCAGTAGACAGAACCCTCTAGTAGTGGTAACTCGCACTGATCCTTTTCTAGTCCATCATGGGATGTTTTCCCGCGCTCATTAGTGATGGCATTCCTGCTGATATAAGAAGACAAGTGAGTCTGCTGTCTGTTTCCTTAAGGTCCAGGTAATTTAAATCACGCTTGCTGTATTAACAGTTAGTTTCACGGAAGTTTTTTGGTGATATACTATTAATATGAGCTTCGTTGGAATGTTTTAAGACCTTCCTGATAGTATTTTTATTTTCCAAGTCAATTGAATGAGATGTCCACTAATGAAACAAAAATATTGTATATTTTTAGTAGTGGACAAGAGGTGGCCACAACTAGTGAAAATGAACTTTTCACTTTTAATCAGTATCAAGTCAAAAATTAAATCACCTAATGTTAAGTAACATACAGTATTGATTCAAGCATTTTTTGGTTACTCTGTCTAGTCATGGACAGGGGATGTTCACTATTAAACTGTGAATGTCCGTTTATTGAAATGAGGTGTTTCAATAGTGGACAAAACATGGTTTGGTGCCATGGGATCCTACAGCACCCGGTATGCTAAGTAGGAAAATAATGTGCAAGAAGAAGTCAGACAGTACTCTCACGAAAAGTGATGTAAGAGTTGGTTTTGAAACATTAAAAATATACATGGGACCTGAGAAAGTGGGGTTATTTGAGACTGTAGTTTCTTTTGAAGATGTTGAGGCTACAGACAAGTCCCTGTTCAATTTATGGCACCAGATGAAGACAGACATCATGAATCAAGTAACAGCTGGAAACAACAGCAAATCCTTCAACAATAATGAATCAGAACANTGTTCTGAAGATTAAGATGAACATATAAACATTTAAAAACATTTGGAATCTTAAGAGAAGACAACTTAATTTTAAATAAAGAAGAAAAGAAATTGGTTTGTTATTTCTTCTTAGAAAATTATAGTTGAACCTGTCTATCGAATCTCACAGGAATGAGAAAAAGTTTGAGATATAGAGGTTTCTACACAGTAAACAGTAATAGGTTTGATTGGACATATGGTATTTTATTAATACAATAGCAAATATACAGTAGAACGTCGTTTATCTGAAATGTCAGTTATCCGAAAGAATTCCAGTTGACAAATTTAAATTTTTGGTAGTGCTGTGGCGCTGCAATCTTTGGCTATATCTTGGACTACTCCAATATTTTTTTTCTTGATGTGTGTGTTTTAGCTGGCAGCACTGGCACTTTTGTGTGGTGTTTTTCTGAGAACTGTGTGTCCTGCTGAATTGAACATTTTTGATACTAGATCAACTTCTAAAGTATAATTTTTTTTGTTTTTATATTTTTCAATATATTTATTTTGTTTGTAAAAAATAAAGAAATAATTTTGAACGATACAATAGCCACGATTATTATTTTAAAAAGTTTACATTAGGCTTAATAGACGAAAATTCAATGTGAAGTGACACAAAACGGAGAAAAATTTCAATATGGGATAGGTTAATATATTTTTTTGTACATAATCAGTTATCCGAACAATCCCAGTCCCCAGCTGATTCGGATAAACGATGCTCTACTGTAGTACATAGCTGTATTAGGTATTAATAAAACATTTTTGACATACTGTACCTTAATTAACAGAAATAGTTTATGATGCCCAACTTCCTTCAACCAATAAGATGTAAACCACACTCAGCCAGTCAGAAAAACAGCAGCATTAATTGCAACTATGTATTGTAAGAGATGTTTCTCAACTATAATTTATACAATCAAAATGTAGTCACTGAGATTTGACTTTGCAACTGACACTTCACTTCAGTCCATAATTTGAGATATACATGGAAAATAAATTGAATTTATGCTGAAAATGCAGGGGAAAAAATAAATTTTGAGATAGACAGGTTCAAATGTATATTCATTTTAAGTGATTATATGTATTGTATGGCTTAATGAAAGAACAAAAAATCATATTATTTAATATAAGTATAGTCAGAAATTCAAACAGTAAAGAAAAAAAATCATATATTTAAGAGCAATGTTATAACACACATTACCTTTACTTTTCATATTTATTCACATTATTTAATTAAGAAAAATTTAATTAAAACACTTTCTCTTAAGATAAAATTAAAAAAAACAAATCAGGCTTAAATCAAACATACTATTATTTCAGCAGTTTCAGGGAACTCTCATCTTCAGAATAAAAATGATATATAAATATTTATATTAGAAAAACTTCAAAAGTCTTATTATATAAAACAGTCTCATATATTAAATGTTATGAGTCTGTCAGTTAGGTCTGAGTTAGGTCTGTCAGCCATTCAAAGTCAGGACTTTGAAGAGGTTATTATGTTTATCAATCCATTCTCTTTCCTTTTTTGATATTATGTTTGATTGTATGACAATTTTAATATCTTTTAGTAGCATATGTTCTGTTAATGCTATGTTTAGAATATGTATAGTCATACAATTTATACAATATATATAATTTTTTTTGAGACTTTATTTCTGTTATCTATGTAGTCTTCTGTCATTCTTTTATTGTAAGCATTTATCATATTTATCCTTTGCTTATCATATTTTCTGGATTTTCTTATCTTTTTCATTTGTTCAGTGCACAATAAATAATAGATAGACTTAAATTTAGAAGTAAAAAAATATTGTTGTCTTTTACTTAATTTAAATTAGTTTTCAAAATATAAATCTTAAATATGTAGAAAAAGAAAAATATTTTTGATTCATTTTTTTTAATATTTGACATATTGTACATACAAAGACAAAATCATGGAAAAAATTTCATATTTACCATTACTGAAATTATCTTCTAAATAATCTATAATTCTAGTTGAGTCTGGAATTATTTTCACACCATCTTTTAAGACTGGAACTTCTGCTTTTGGATTTAATTTCATATACCAGGGTAAATAGTTCTCAAATATTTTTAAATTTACAATTTGTGATTTAAATTTCAGCTTTTTCTCATATAATGCCAACAAAACCTACAAATAAAAATTGTATAAATTAGAAAAATTTTTTATCTTTTATATTGATTATAAATTATCAAATCATAAACATAAATCAATTACCATTAAAATTAAAATTTAATTCCATTATACAAAACAAATTTTTAATTTATGTCTTAATCAAATTTTCTCTCTAAGTAGATAACATGAATAATTTTATTTCCACAAGGCTAATTCTTATCACTGTCATCTAAACCAGTGGTTTTCAATCTTTATTGCTTCATCGTCCCACTCAGAGTAGAAAGTTACACATTTTTATTAAATGTTAAGCAAAGAATGGATTGTGAACTTGAAAATAACTCAATAGAATTAGAAGATAATAAAACTGGAAATGTTTATTTTGTATCATTTTCTTTCTTCAAGAAAATTCCTTCATTTAAAATAAAAAGACAATTTTATAGAAAAAAACAAAAACTAAAAAAGACTAAAAAATTAATAATTATAAACTAGGAAAAACAAATAATTACAAACTTAGGAACATATTTCCTGAGTTTGTAAAAGATGTATTGTTGCTATTAAAATAAATTTAATTTTAAAATAGGTAATGTTTAAAAATATAAAAGTCTTAGTTTTTATATATTTTGCTGAAAATTCATTAAACATAACTGAAGATCTCCCATTTTCAATAATGCTCTGTTTTTTATATCAGCTGAGTGACTACTAAAATCCAATTCAACCAAACAGAAACTTGGAAAAAAAACATATACAATTTTTTTGTTTGGTCCCAAAGTTGAGAGAATTTATTTTCAATTTCTGCATTAATCCAGAATTGCTCTGCAAATCCACAAGATATAGTTGTAGTTTCAGATCCATGTTAGTCACATTTGCACCAAATGGATGCACCACCCATTCTCAGGCTTCCATTTCTAGTAGATCTATGAACCTTAGTTTTATTTCATCATATAAATTTTTCCCCAACTACATCCTCATTATTGGATTTTCAATTAAGTCTTCTATAATGTGAAAGAATTAATTTGTACAAAATGAAAATTTTTTTATTTTATTTTGTAAATTAGCAAGATTTCCTTTTAGATCCCCTGGAAATTCCCGGGCCTCCCTGGAATGTTTCACAGTCCTCATTGAGAACCATTCATTCTAAACTAAACCCAGTGAGCTACTACAGGAAGTTTTTCCAAAGTTTGAATCTTCAAAAAAATTCATTGTGACATAATTTTACAGACATTTGAATTTACTATTGGAATTTAGCAGAATTACCAAACCTTTGGCAATTTTTCATTGCATTCTAGTGACTTAAACATGAAATTATAAGACTAAGATGAAAAAGAACATTCAACATTGAATTTCATATAAATCACACTATTATTGTCAGTTAATAGTGCAATTTACATGAAATCATATTTTTTGAGATTAGTTAATAATGAAATTTGATTTTGTTAAAAAACTAACTTTGAAAATACTTATATTTTTATAATTTTTTCTTGTAATTTTTATCTACACCTATAATCATATTTAGGAAAATCACAATAAATAGTTTGTCTTGAAATCTGACTTAGAAATGCATCCTGGATTTATAATAATCAATTTATTTTGTAATTCATTAAAAATTTATGATGTAATAACATTTAAATTTCAAATGAATTTCTTGATCCAATAGATTTATAACATTATTACTGTATTTTCGTGGAATGCCTGGCATGCCTGTCTATCCAGGAGAGACCAGCAAATCAGATGGTAAAAGCTGGCAAGCTGGTTTAAGTAAAGTTATACATCCTTCTCTACAGAGCGCATTAATGAAGCATATGAGTTTTTATTATAAAACTATGAAACTGTCAGCATTACATCAGAAACTATAATTATGTTTAATTTCTTCATTTTGTCTTCTTTCTAATGATATAAAATACTCTTGGAATTCCAAAAGTGCTGTTATTGTTATCTGATTCAAAAATGCAGAAATAAACATATTAAATTTAAGAAACCAGCTGTAAATTATCTCTAAATTACAACTATTAACATCAGTTTTGTGTGAAATTTGAGAGGAAGATGGTCAATGTAGCCCACACTGACTAATTACTACTACTATTAATGCAATAAGTCATTAATTGTTTTGTTGTCTTGTAAACGAAAACTCTCTTCCTGATTTTAAGTCAGTCAAATTACAATGTTTTTATTTTATTGGACTGGAAAGAATGTTTTCTTCAATATTTAATTAACAACTAGTTTTGTTAGATCTGAATAATTTTATATTTTAGTCGCAGTTTAATGGGCATGCCAGTAACCCCGAGGTTTTCGGCATGCTTGACATTCCACAAAAATACAATATAAAGAATTATTATTATAATCATACAAGGATAATATAACAAACAATGTATCATCCTTAATTTTTTTTAAATTATATTTGCTGCACAAAATTTTTTTCAAATAGAAATTAGGCAATTATGCTATATCTATATATATAACCCATTCAACAGGTGTCCGTCCTTCCTTCCGTCCGTCCCGTAACCGTTTGATAACCGACACTAGAGGCGCCCCTATCGTGTGTCATATTTCAAACATTCAAATTAAATTAACAATTTTAATTATTATTTAAATTAACAATATAAATTATTATTATTCATTTGGCCAATAAATTATTATTTGGTCAATATAACAATATAAATAATTCAGTATATTTGTAATAGGAATTTATTATTGTCACGGAATGCCTGTAANAATAATAAAAACTATAAGAAAATCCGAGCTGGAGTGTTTATCTATCAATAATTATTAACATTTGATATTAATGAAATGAATTCTGAATTTAATAATGAAACAGATATAATGCAATTCAATTTTCAAGACAACAAATTGAGAAATCAGAGTGATTCGAA